GTAAAGGAAGTGTTTGAAATAGGTTATCGAAACTGTTTTCTACAGTTGTCACATAAACAGTTGTTAAATACCTTTGCCTCTTGTCATAAACAGTTATTAATCGACACATTTATATCGATATACTATAATTATATATCAATGATCAAGCATGTTAGAACTGTAACGTATAAAAATACTCTTACAGTTTTATTGATATTCGCTAGATACTCACTACAAAATGTTCACACGCTTCCAATATGTTTCTAACTCCAAGCAGAAGGAAGACACATACATGCACAAACCTGCTTGCATCCTGTGAGAAACTGTATTTCACAGGAACACTGATTTTTCCCAACAGGAATGTATCAAGATTTCAAAATAGAACAGGTTCAGTAAATGATATGTAGAAAGTAATTTCGAACACCAACAGCAAAGGAAAACAAGCAGACATAGGTATATAAACAAAGAAAATCCTTTATTCATATGTTTGAAGAGAACAGGAAAAAGAGAATCAGAATAATGGTATATCGCACTCTTAAGTCAAAGAAAATGTTTAGTATGGTATCTTACAATTCGTACATTACATAAAATAATTAGCATTAGTATCCAGAATGAATGTAAAGTCCTGATGAGAGCAAGACAATACCAATGTTTTAGCCAAAGCAGCTTCGAGTACTAGAATGTGTGTTCAAACACACCTACATCCATACAGACCACATATCAGCATTTGTCATTGCAGGCATTGGTGTAGCTACATTGAAAACAATGACCACAAAACATCAATAATATGAAACAAAACCTAGAAAGCTACAGACTTTTTTGTATGGTCTCAGTCTAAAGCCCGTTATAAACTAATGTACTCTTTATAGAAACAGAGGATATTCCATCCATGTAATCGTACTATGAATATATATATATATATATATACTTTCTGTTTTCAATTTCAAGCTTTCGTCCCTGATACAATGGAATTTCATTCTCTTACCATATATATCACCTGAAACGTGTGACTTAAAAACCAACACGTCATCCACACAGATGAAAAGTCTCTTCCATTGCAGTCCTCTAAGTGTAAAAACCATTATCACCTCAGGAGTGGCTAGGACATCACATAGGCAAACCAGATGACATGATTCAGAATTTAGGTCTACTTTCATTATCCAGTTTGACTCACTAGAATCTACACCTAAAATATTGATAACATGGGTGTCTTTCAACATATCCAAAAATTTGTTTGTATACAGAAAAGAGCTCAGTGCATTCACCCTCCTAAAATCCACATAGAGCCTTGGACCTTATTTTTCTCAATCTCCACTGGAGGTGACCAAGTACTTCATGAAGTTTTACAATCCGCTCGATTTCAGTTCTAGCAGCATCTTTTATTTTCCAAGAAAACCTATGTGGTTATTGTCTCACCACTTATGAGCCATCTCTATCTATGACGATAGTGATTTTTGTCTGATCCTGTCATGAACACGTATGCAAACTTCTGCAGTATTTTACTAAGTTCGTGTCTTTATGCTGAATCAATATTTTTGGCTCAATCCTCAATTTTGAGTCTTCAAATTCTTACGAAACTGTACATTTCTTTGCACACAGAGAACATAAGCAGTTAAAAATTCAGGCAACTCTTGCCTTCAAGCTCTGAATGTAGCCATATAGATCATTTAGTTCCCACAAGGTCAAATTTGTGGTGGACCAAACAAACGACCATACCTCATTCACTTAGTTACTATTAATCCTTTTGCTCGAGCATTGGGTCATTTAGACCCAGTATTAGGAATTGCATCACCTGTTACTGAGCCTATATGTTTCATGCAACAACTTGATTGAAGACTTAAAGAAATGGTCTAACTTCTACCTCACCATCCTCTTTAACACTGATAGGTTCATCTATTTCACATCACTATTATAACAAATGGTGGTGCAGACAGGTACTTAATAATAGTTTCTTTGCCACTGCACACCTGAAGTGCGGCAAAATTTTGGGGAAGCCCTCACTTTCCTCCAAAGCTTCTTTGAAGAACTTTAAAAAATGGTCCAAACTCTACCTAACCATCTCCTGAAACATTAAATGCTGTTAAATTTGGGGGAGACCCTCATCCTCCCCCAGAATTCTGCAGCATGAAAAATTAATGTAGTGACCTCAAGCAAAGTAAGGAGCAAAGTGTCATAGCATGTGAATATAAGTGTCACTGTTACATTCTGATCCAATATCGACTGCTAGACATTGTTTCTTAATGTCGTCAGTGTGTCTTACGAGCTAAGAAGGCTTACAACTATTCCTGTTATATGCGTGTATGTAGTGGTATCACACAGTGTTGTTCCTCTTTTCACTTTTCATGGAATCACAGAGTTTAAGGTGTTCTGAATTGTATGTGAACGATTGATAGTTTTAAATGAAGATACCTGTATATTTTGCTCTTTTGAATAACTATTGGACGAATGGAAGTCAGGCAATCATAACAAGTTATTGCAAGCTGGCTAAAATGTGTTTCAAAGGTGTCATGTCAGAAAGTAGGGTTGTTTCAATAACACCTGGGCAAGGCAATCCCTCATACACAACACTGACAGATAATTGTTATTTATAGATTTTGGTTCATTGCGATCAGAGTACCTACTCTGGGACTGACACTGAATCAAATGTTCACAGCCACAACTTGGTACGGTGTCAGTGTACAAACAGTTGGAAACCCATTTCCCAAGATTTGCTTGATCCCAAACATCCACTGAAGTGTATTCAGCTCCAAGCACGGCACTGAATACTTCATCTTTAATGAGGCTAAGAAGATATCCAGTGGACCAACGACAGATGGGACAATATTCTTTTTACACAGGAGTTGTAGGTCATCCTGCAACTATTTAACACGAACATACTTACTTATTTGTAGAGAATCTGAAATCATCTCCACCTCAATTTTCATAAAGGAGCATTGATTCTTGAAGGTAACTCTCTTTTATTGATTACACCAAAGTTCAACAACAGAATTGATGTATGTGAAAATCTGGTGTTGGATTAACATCATGTTTGTGAAACCTTTGAAAATTCTGTTATCCTCTTCTTTAAAGCTAGGTAAAAATGATAATATAATATTTCTATGAATTTCTGAGCTATTTCAATGAACTGCTAAGATTTATAATTTCGATGATAGAATTTTAATTGGGTCTTATGTTAGACCTAACTGAAACCTTGCTTGACATAGTCATAACCAGTGGTACAAGACCAATAGAATAACTTGGAAATGCTTCCCAACCTTTAGTTATCTCATAAAGTTTTTGATTCACTTCCTTACTCTAATATTATACAGGGATATAATCACGCTTTAAATTCATGCCTATGACGCAAATTGGTTATGAATATTCATTTTATTTCATTTAACAACCTTGTAGTTTCCTGTATTGACCAATGGCGTGCAAGGCTAGTTTGCTCTTCTTAGAAAATCCCAATCTCCAGTTAAGTCGAAGGTTTTTTTTTGTTGTTGTTGTTTTTTGTTTGAGCCCAAACCTACACAATGGGTTATATGAGCTGTATCAGCAGAAGAGATTGAACTTCAAGCTCTACCATTATATGCCTACAAGCTCACTACTGAGTCGACTTGTTGAAAACAAGAACAAGCTTTAAATAACAGGCTAGGTTTTAAGAAATATTTTATTTTATTACAGAAGTAATTAAGTTACATTTTATTAAGATTTCTGATTAAACAAGTGCGTATATAAAGCAAACAATGCGTTACCGACTTTTATCAGATTAAGTACAAATAATATTAATAACTCATAAAAAAAGAGGGGGAGATAAACAATAAAAACGTTTTACACAAAAAAAGTTGTTTCTTAAAT